TAAATAAATAAGCGCAGTCATCACCTGTCCCAACATCATACCTAGTGGCTTTAATAATTATTCCCTATACTTAAGTATAAGGAATACACACACACACACACACACACACACACACACACACACACACATAATGCCTGTTAATATTGCAAATACAAAGTTACTTTCTCTTCTGAGAAGCAGTGAAATCTTTAATGCACAGGTCATAAGATCCAATTCCCTGGAGGTATTTAAACAGAGGTGGATATTGAAGTTGGTGGGGGCTCAGCCTCAGATGACTTTTAAGGTCTCTTTCAACCACAACTCCTGGAATGTGAAAGTGTATAAAGTACCTCAGGCCTTCCATCTTGTTCGTGATATTTGAACAGCAGAACAAGGGCAGATAGAATGCTATTGGTTCTAGTGTTGTTTGTTTTCCTTTAAGATCAAGAGATCCAGTGCTACTGTTTTGAATAATTCTAAATGTTTCTCTGCATTTGGGAAAGCCTGCTAAATTTGTCTACCATTTCAAATTCTGGTAGACATTTTTTAAGATGAAATGAGGCAACCGATTAAAATGAAAATGAAAAGCCTAACGTTTTGGAGGTAGACCAGATTTCTAGAGTTCTAAAATCTGCTTGCGCACAGGGTTTGCAAATGCATTCCCACTGTTCAAAGCTGAATATTTATAAAATCATGTTCTGGAGTGAAGATTCTATGAAAGGAGGTAATTGATAGTGTGGCCTTTACAAGGCTGGCATAGGCCAAAGACACAAATTGGTGGCCTCTGATGATTCCAAGAGCAGTTGTGTTTTGTGTGTCTCACACTATGTTAAAAAAATCCAAAATGTTACCAACATTTAAAACTCAGAGGTTTTCACATGCATAAAAATATATATTTCTGCTTTTCCTGAAAATCTGGAAAGACTATTATGCATTGCTGTAAAGAAATACCTAAGACTGGGTCATTTACAAAGAAAAGAGATTTAATTGGCTCCTGAGAAGGGGAAATAGGCAAGTCCCATGGCAAAAGTAGGAGCAAGCGAGAGAGAGAGAGAGAGAGAGAGAGAGAGAGAGAGAGAGGGAGGGAGGGAGAGAGAGAGAAAGAGAGTAGGAGAGGAAGGGAGGAGGGGCCACACACTTTTAAAAGACCACATCTCAGGATAACTCACTCACTGTCACAAGAACAGCACCAGAGTGATGGTGCTACACCATTCAAGAGAAATCTGTCCCCATTATCCAGTCACCTCCCACCAGGGCCCACCTCCAACACTGAGGATTGCAATTCAGCATGAGATTTGGGTGGGGTACAAATATACAAACTATATCAACTGTCTACAGTGGACCCACATTCTCTCATGGCAATAAAAGATAGGATCTGACAGTCTCTGGCCCCTTATACTGGGATATACCACTCCAGGGTATCCCCACTTGGACCCTTCTTTCATTTCTGTCTTCCGCCTGGCCACTGAAGGCGTTTGCTTTGGTTTCCCCTCTTGGACAAAACTGTGACTCAGGAGGGCTGGCATGGCCAACACCCTTCTTGCCATTTGACTGTGCCTTGAATGCAGGGAATATATGTCTTGCTACAAGTTGTTACACTCCAGCACCGTTGCTTCTACTTGGTAGAACTCAAGAACTCTCAACTTATCCTGCTCCCATTTCATACCTACCAATTCCTGGTTTTCCCTCTTTTCTATCCCCCAAATCTGGGCACTTGTTTTTTTCTTTTTTTTTCTTTTTTTTTTTTAGTGAAAAGGGCTGGTATTAATAATTATGGTTGACCCCTGAACAAGGCAGGGGGTAGGTGCTGACTCCTCATACAGTTGAAAATCTGCATATAATTTTTGACTCCCCCAAAACTTAGCTACTAGTAGTCTTCTGTTGACTGGAAGCTTATTGATAACATAAATAGTCGATTACCATATTTTTTGTATGTTATATGTATTATATACTTATAATACAATAAAGTAAGCTAGAGAAAAGAAAATGTTTTTAAGAAAATCGTAAAAAATATATTTACTATTCATTAAGCGGAAGTGGATCATCATAAAGGTCTTCAACTTTGTCTGCACGTTGAGTAGGCTGAGGAGGAGGAAGAAGAGGAGGGGTTGATCTTGCTGCCTCAGGGGCAGCAGAAGCAGAAGAAAATTCCCATATAAGTGGACCTGCTCAATTCAAGGGTCAACTGTACTCTGGGACAACATGTGTAAATTGGAGCTATTGTAGGTGTAATAGTTTTCTAGGGCTGCTATAACAAAGCATCCCAAGCCACCTGGCTTAAAACAACATAAATTTATTTTTTCACAATTCTGGAGACCAGAAGTCCAAATTTAGGTATCAGCAGGGTCTTCTCTTTCTGGAGATCCTGAAGGAGAAAGCCTTTCAGTGCCTCTTTCCTAGCTGTTGGTGGTTGTTGGTGGTACTTGGGGCTCCTTGGCTTGTAGGTACACCCCTCCAATCTCTGCCTTCCTTATCACATGAGATTCTTCCTGCATGGCTGTGTCTCTGTTTTCTTTTCTTATTAGGACACCAGTCATATTGGATTAAGGACCACCATTTTAGCTTAATTATCTTTGCAAAGACCTGATTTCCAAATAAGGTTATAGGTTACAGGTTACAGGAGGTTAGGACCGCAACGTATCTTTTAAGGGACACAATTTATATCATAGCAAGCTAGGTCGTTTGTTCATGCTACCTCAGGCCCAATGCCTTCCTGCAAATTGCCCTTTATTTGTCCAGACAAGTCTGCTCAACACCTCACCCAATCAGATCCCAAAGCTCTAAACACTTATCCTTCCTTATCCTGCTTCCTCCATGCATGATCTCATTCCATGTTACTGTTAGGCGACAGGTCATCTGATTAAATAAAGGTAAGGAATGCTAAACTACATTGACTCTCTAAAGTTTATCTGCACTGTCTAATTAAAGATGATTTCTGAATTATAAGAGTAAAACATATTCAGTGCATAAAATTTGAATATTACATAGAAGCTACCCAGAGTTTGAATTATACCTCTGAGAAGCAACTGTTAATTTGATTTTCTTCCAGTTTTTATTCTTTACCTCTTAAAAATCAAAATTGTATAATTTTATGTGTCGTTATAATTAAGCATTTTTTTCCATGTAAACTCTAGTATACTATATAATGTTAAATATTTGTTAAGTGTTTTCTAAATGCCAACTACTACCCTAAGTACTTTATGTGCATTATCTAATCTACTGTTAATAGTTATAATATTCTTAGTGGTAGATATGATTATTCCTATTTTATGAATGAGAAACTGAGGCAGAGTAAACCTAGAGAATTTTTTCTAGGCTACACAGCTAGTATTTCATAGAATCAGGATTCAACTCCAGCTCACCAAGCTTCAGAGCTTGCACTCACAGCACTGTGAAGAGTATCTTAACTTAGAAACGAACCATAATTCGTTTTGATTTACACGGAAGCAAGAATCTCAAAAAGAATTGGCTTGGGTAATAAGGAAAAGGCAAATGAATCTTGTATCTTTTCATCCCTTTTACGGCACCCCTCCCCCAAAAGAGATCTCAACACTCAAATCTCAATCCTACATTTGCATGCACACACAAGCACACACCTACACACACATGTGCGCACACATGCATGCCCCTCTACCATTCATCTAATTGTAAATCTAGGGAATTATTCTTCCCTTTTTCTGTGTGCCTCTTCCTCCCATAATCAACCCACTACCAAATTGGCTAAGAAGCCAGATTTGCTTCTTAGATACATCTTTAAACTGTCTTATCTCCATCTCCGCCAGGTCACCATCACTGGTGGCAGGGAAATGTGGCATTGCACCAGCTCTGCTCATTAATATCTTTGACAGTTGGGAACTTTTTCTCCTATTTACTTTCTACTGAGAAGTTAGAAATGTAGATAGGAATGGTTTGAGTTGACACAGTACGCTGTCAGTTTCCCAGTGGAAATGTATTAGGTAAAGGAACCCACATCAACTACTGGATAAGAATCAATGTGGGTGGTTTAGCTCTTTTCTCTCTGTGCTCTTTACAATATTCTAAGGCAGTTTTAAGCAATTGAGATTGTTTTTTACCTTCTGACAGTGCATCAAAAGGAGTGGCTTGAGCAGTCAATATTGGGCTATGGGGTTGACAGATCTGGATTCAAGTTGCAACTCGGCTAATTATTTGTGTGACCTTTAGCAAGCTACTTGCTGTAAGCCTGTATTGGTTTCTTAGGACCACTGTCATAAATTACCAGAAGATTGGTGACTTAAAACAACAGAAATGTATACTCTCAGTTTGGAAAGCTACAAGTCTGAAATCAAGGTGTTCACGGGTCTGTGCTTTTTCTGAAGCCCCTAGGGTAGGATCTTCCTTGTGGCTTCTTCCATCTCCTGGTAGCCCAGGTGTTCGTTGGCTTACAGCAGCATATCTCCAATATCTGTCCCCATCTTCACCTGGGTCTTCCCTCTGTGTCTTTGTCTTCACATGGCGTTCTCTTGTGTGTCTCAGTTTCCTTTCCTTATAAGGACTCCAGTCTTATTAGATTATGGCTCACCCTAATCCAGAATGACTTCATCTTAATTTGGTGACCTATTTCCAAATAAGGTCACATGCACAGGTGCTGGGGGTGAAGACTTTAATATATCCTCTTTTGCAGGGAGGGGAGGGGGTGAACACAATTCAACCCATAAGCCTCAAAACTAGCTTTCTGACCTGTGCAAGAGAGATAATAATACTACCTGCTAGATATGGTTCTTGTGAGGATTCAGTGACACACATATCTGGGCCCTCACACAGTACCTTCAACATAACCAGAACTCAGCACAAACATCCCCAGTCTTCTACCTCCCTTTCCAGACCCTCCCCTCCTCTTCTTCTCCTACTCAGCTACCCCAGTCTGTCATTTTGTTTACTCAGAGTAGAAACACAAAACAGGCAGCCATAAGTTTACATATTACCTGACTCCATCCTTCCTGCCATTAATTTAGCAGGTGTTTTTGGTGAATTTTTCAAACGAATGTGTTTACCTTTCACAGTGTTTCCAGAAAGGACTCAAAGTTCAGTGGCGTGTAAAAGACTACTTTGTACTTGCCAGTACATAGTCCCCAGGTCTTCTGTAAGCACAGTTTCTTTGGATGAAAAAAGCTGTGAAGAAGCCCGTTCCCCTCCAGCACCATCTGGTGAAACTGATGAGACCCCATTGATTTTCACTGCCAGTGGAGAAACTGAGGAGAGAGCCAGAGGAGCACCCAAGCAGGCTTGGAACAGTTCATTTTTGGAACAACTGGTACAAAAGCCTAGTTGGGCACACTCAGTAAATCCTGTTCACCTGGAGGCTCAGGGCATACACATCAATAGACACACAAGACCTAAGGCCCAGCCCTTGAGCAATCCCAAGAAAAATTCTGGTAAGTATCACATTGTGGTTACTGATTCTCCTTGTTTCAACTGGTCACATTTTGTTTTCAACTTCAATATAAACAGAAAAAATATTGATTTCATGGCTAGTCCTATTCTAGAAGGTACCACAAGAACTACAGTAGCCAGTCCTCAATGAAAGTCTGCTTGTTGCCAAGTACTATATTGGAGGAGAGAACAGGTGTGAGTCGATGACAGGTAATTTGATGATTCAGTTATTGCACCTGACAATGACAGCTATTATCATCACAATTCCAGCCCCACTTATTAAGCTTTCACCATGTGCCAGACACTGTGCTGGGCATTTTATATTATTTTATGAAATCTTAATATAATATTCAGGCAGATCATACTATTATCCCCGTTTTACAGACAAGGAAGTTGTGAATTCATAGCACAAGATATAGGAGGAATGGTTCAAAGTAAGGACATGGCCCAGAAGGGATAAGTTTTGGAACCAGAAAGAACTGTGCTCAAATATCAGCTCTCTCCCATCTCAGCTCTGTAACCATTATCAAGTCCCATAAATGTTTTTGCAACCCAGTTTTTTCATCTGTAAAAAATGACAGTTATTACTTCAAATTAAATGATTTATATAAATAAAATTTCCTGAACATAGTAAGGACTTAATGGGGGTGGTGATGATGGTCGTGGTACTTATGGTGCTGATGTTCAGACTGGAGGAGAGAAAATCTAAGGAAAAAAAAATGCGGATCTCCAAACATTCCAAGAGCTGTCATGTAGAAGAGGGATGAGACTAATGTTACATACTCTTCTCATTTATAGCAAGCTTGTCCGACTCATGGCCTATGGCTTTTATGTGGCCCAACACAAATTCGTAAACTTTCTGAAAACATGAGATTATTTGTGCGTTGTTTTTTTTTTTTTTTTTTTTCCTCATTAGCTATCATCAGTGTTAGTGTATTTTATTTATGGCCCAAAACAAGACACTTTTTTTCTTCCTATGTGGCCCAGGGAAGCCAAAAGATTGGACAGCCCTGCTTTATAGGGACCTTTTGAGGTAGGTTCCCTCTACATGTTTGTACAGTTTGTTGGAATTTACTAGAAGACAAAAGAGATAGATTTTGACTCAATACAAAGGAGAACTTTCTTTGAACTAGAAGAGAATATACTGCATGGGCTAGAAGTGCTCAAGCAGAGGGCTGGGAGACCTTCTTCCAGAAAGGCTATGTCAGAGATTTCTTTGTTTCTGGAAGCTGGGCCTGGTAATGAGAAACAGAAGATGCTGGTTGGCTAACACTTTTGAATTCTTACTATGAACAAGGCAATATGTTGAAATTGGAATGTATATCTTCCGTTTTGATCCACATGACCCTCCTCTGAGATAGAAACTGTTATTTTTCTATGATTTAGTGCAGAATCCAGGTCAGAGTATTTCTAGATCCAGGTTCTAAATATGACTATAGTGACTCTTGAGCACTGAGCACTTGCCATGTACTTGATGCTCAACATTTTGTCAGGTTCTTTCCTCCAATTCTTAGCTAGTTTCCTTTCTCATTTCAAGTCTTTGACTTGAAATGTCACCTACTTAGCTCTTTCTCAAATTCCTGTCTCAGTTTAATTCTCATCATAGGATTTATTTACCAGCTGGCACTTAAAATTTATTCATTCACTTACTTGTTAGTCTGCTTCTCCTCCCTACTTTTTATTGCCTGCCATGTTCCCTTTGTATCCCCAAGGTCTAGAATACTGCTGAGCACATACTGGGCATTCAAATATTATTAAATGAATGAACAAATTTAATCTCACTAGCAACGCTGTGAAGTAGGTAATATAACTCCCATCTTTCGGGTAAGGACAAAGAGACTTAGGCCAGGTCATGTGCCAAGATTGGAATCTATGAAGTCCTGACCCCAGAGCTTTATTTCATTATACCACACTGTCCCTTTAAGATAGTTTGTTGCAAAATGTATCATTACTAAATTGCTTTCAGGGAAGGACATTTCTATTTTTTTTTTTTTTTTTGACTCAAAACATAGGAAAGCATATCCTGTCTAGGTCATGCCCTGTTGCTCCAAACTCCAAAGCTACATCAGTGTTCTCTAGTGGTTTCTTCTTGCACTGAATATTGTTGACAGTGAATGGTCCATCTGACAGGGCCAGAAATCCAAATCAACAGCTATTAAGCACCTAGTGTTCACAAAGCAACACGCTTGAAAGTTTTCATTTACTTGGAAATATTAAAATGCCATTCTACCTTTATTTCAGGAAGTGATTCCTGCATTGGAGAATTCAGATTCACAAAAAAATTTTCACTGTTTGACTTGGGCATGTGACATGTGCAGAGGGAGGTACTCAGTACATACTAGGCATAGAACAGAGTGTAATGAACTAAACTGAATTACATAAAGATAGACTGACTGACTGACAACCACTGTTAGGAAGGCACTATTCATTTTAATTCTTTTACGTATTTTTTGAATTTCGGAATGATCTGAGTTGCTCTAAATATTCTAGACATCTGTATGCTATTAAAAACCTTTTGAAAGCTTCTAGAAAGTGATTTAAACACATAAATTATCTTAAGTCCCTACTGAAGAATTGGACTTTAATTTGTGTAGGTCAATGGGCAGAATTTCTCAGGTAAAAGCTCCATGATTTATATATGTATTTATATATAAATCTTGAAGTTTATATATATAATATATTATATAATATGGAAGTTTATATATATATGAACATGTAGGTAAATATATGTATGTGAATATATATATATATTCACACACACATATAGCAGTCTTGGCTATGTTGTAAGAAAACCACATCTTTTGTATGGAAAAATTATTTTGTTGGGCAAAGAAAGAGAAAAATCAAACTTATTAGTATTACTGGATATGTGTGTGTTATGTAGTCCCAGTCTTAGGTTAATTTACTGTTTGTTTTAATCTTCAGCTGGTTTGAAGTTTCCAATAAAACTAATTAAGTAACAGCCTTTTGTTTTTTTAAAAAATCATCAGTTGACAGTCTACAGGGACTGTAGACACATTTGCTTTCACATATCCATTAATAACTCCACTTGACAATTTTCCATTCACAAACTTTCCCCTCATTTAGAAGTTCGAGCCCTATTTTAGCCACCGATTCTTCTGTGTCTCTCTCTTTGGGGGTTTTGAACAGTTTTCCTTGAAATAGAAAGTTTTCTGAGGATTATGCAAAAGCTATATATATATGGAGGCGTTGGGGAGGTGGTTTCAAAGAACAGGAAGGGAATAGATAGCATTTTTGTTTTCTTAGATAAATATGGGGAGGCAGGTGAGGATCATGTCAGGGTTTTATTTATTTATTTATTTATTTATTTATTTATTTATTTATTTATTTTTCTTTCCCCTCTGAGAACATTACAAATGTCGATTTCTCAGATGTCCAGTTGTCGCGGGGGCGCGGTGTGGTCCCGCACACTTGAGCCTCATCTCTGTCCTGCTTTCCTGCTTTGCCTTCCAGGTTCCACCGCCAGACCTTTCACTGCCATTGGCCTCTGCAGGAGGAGCCAGACCCCCTGCGCCCTGCAGAGCGCCGGCCCGAGTAACGCAGAGCTGGAGCCGAAGGAGAGGATGGCATCCCCAGCAGGCTCTCAGGCACACCCCGACATCCAAAGCAGACTCCTGGGCGCGTCCGGAAATCCAGTCGGAAGAGGCGCGGTTGCCATGGCGCCGGAGATGCTCCCCAAGCATCCTCATCCCCCGCGGGACAGGAGGCCTCGGGCGGACACCTCCCTCCGTGGCAATCTGGCAGGAGCGCCCCTTCCTCTGCTGGCCGGTGCTTCCACCCATTTCCCCTCCAAGAGGTTAATAAAGGTTTGCTCCTCAGCACCCCCCCGCCCAACCCGGCGTTTCCATACGGTTTGTTCACAGGCCCTTTCTAGGCCGGTGGTGAATGCTCACTTACATTGACCGCTGCGAGGGAATTGTTCGGCGAGTGCTGCCCATCTTCAAATCAATGCCTGCTCAGAACAACAGAAAGGGCCTCAGATGTACTGGTTTCCACAGAACCATTGTTAGGCTTTTGTGAAGCATTTTTGAACCTAATAAATAATGTCAAAAGTCCGTAGCGCAGCCAAAAATGTTCCTTTTGAAGCATCTCTAATAGTATTTTTGTTCTGCGGTGTCTCCCAGTGTTACAAAGAATTTGTGCCTCACAATAGGGATGGGGTACATCGCGTGCCACTTTGCAACGTGCCTCGTGGGATTGTGAGGACCCCTCTTTGTTTTGCTTTCGCAGGTAAACGGTTTCACTTGCCAACTTCGCCTTTAGCTTAAGGATGTTTTCTAAGGGCCTTTAGAATTTCTAAACAGCGATTAGGAAAACATAATTGAATGTCTGTAATTTAATAATTTACATGAAATTTGATTACTCCTGATGTGCCCAGGGGAATTTTTCATGTCGTATTAAGGGTTTAATGTTAGAAACCTGAAGCTGGGCACTAGTTTGAGGCCCTGAAACACTTGGAACCAAGTTTAATGTAAAAGAGGTGCTGAATTTGCTGATTTGTAATACAAAATACTGGAGCAGCTTAGGGAACCTTTTATCAAACTGGTAATTTTAGGCAATACCTTTTATTTTGTTTAATATAGCAACTTTTCATCATGATGGGATGCTGATGCCAACTTTATCAATTGATTTTATGAGTTTAGGTTTTCTCTTTTTAATATAGTAGGGTTTTTTCCCCTTCAGAAACAAAGAGAAGTCAATGTGACCGATATGCTTATATGCAGTTTTGCACTCAAGTTCCTTGGAATTTTCCCACAAGCTTAGATTCACAGAGTTTGATAGATGGAGGTTGTCAAATCTTACTGCATTTAAAAAACTTTTTTTTTTTGCTTTAGTTCAACTTAATAGACGTAGTATGATTACATTTAAGACAGCATAATGTCTCAAGTCCAAATTTAAGTCTCAAGGTTTTGAGAGGAATGAAGTGTTATCAGCAATAACTTCCTAACATTTAAGAGTCTGTTTAGTCCTTTGGAGACTGAAGACTGTTTACTTTTTTTTTTTTTTTAATGTTAGCATGCTTTAGGAATAATGCACTTTAAAGAAAAATGGTATCCCTAAACTTTAGAGCTTTCTTGGTTCCAGATTAATATGATTTTTATAATAAATATGCTTTTATTTTATTTATTAATATGGTTTTATTATAAGACAATGTACAGGTTATCAATGTTGATTTTTGTGGTTTCTTGAAGATATACTGGCATCTGCTCACCAGAGTTCATGTGACAATCATAAATTCAACTTCATGCCATTTGGTTGGAGATTAAGTGTGTAGGCAAACTCATGGACTTATACAGAAGTTTGATTCTGGGATATTTTAATTTGCTATTTAATTATGAGTTAACACAACTGATGTTTTTAGGTCAAGAAATCATTAAGTTACTTTAAAACAATTAACCAAAAATTTGTAATGGTCAATTTCAAGAATAGAAAATGTACTTGATGTAATAGATGGATTCCTTCAACTGTAGAAGTGCAAATTACTGAATTTATTAAAAATGCAAAACAGAAGGAGAGATCTTGTTCAGAATTCAGAAAAGGAATACAGGCTACAGATATAAAATATGTTGTATTCTAAAGAAGTTTCCCAAAGTGTTTTGTGAAACACTGGTGTAAGAAAGATAGTTTGTGAAATGGAGAGTCCGTAGATAAATATGTCTGAGAGACGCCCACTATGCATGCTCTTAGAGAGTCATAGTAACATTAGGTCCCGGAGAAATCCCATAATTAAAAAAATCTGATAAACTCTGTTTAACCCAATGTCTAGCAACCTTATTTAATCATGGAATCCTGATAGATTGGTGTGTGTGTATATACATATACGTGTTTCTGAAAAAATCCTATCAGTACTTTGTACCACCAGTGTCCTATGCAACACACGTGGGAAAACATTGCTTAGAACTCTGTTCTAAATACACCAAAGTCTCTGTAGATTTGTAGGGTTCAAAGTAAGGATTTCTTTTCACATTAGTGAGGTAAAAATCAGGGCTAAAGAAAGAAGCACTTTGAGACCCTATTCTTCCTTGGAGCAGTGTAATGAACTGTCTCTGTTTATTTGTCCTCATTTTGGATGCACATGTCTGGGAGAAAATTAGTTGATCCAGCCCTGATCATGCTCTTTAGTGATGGATGAGAAGCATTTTCAACTCTGTCATCGTCATGGGCTGGAGGTCCTTTGGAATGACAGCTTCTTTTGTACTATAACTTAGACACAAATGCACCAAGGTAAATGTAGTGAATTCTTTACTAATACCATTTGTTCTGAAAGCAGCGCTAAATTAAACAGTCATAACCGAGGATGAATCCATTTAAGGAAATAAATAATATATTTTTATATGTAGCACAGGCAGTGAGGACTAGAATGAGGCCCTATTGTGTAAAATAATTGTTTCACAGGTTCTGAGTTACAGTTTGACTTTATTTCTTTTGTGGTTTGACTTATGGTTATGTGGCATTACCACATACTATAAGAATCTTTAAGGAACATAATATGCCACTTCATAGAAAAATATTTTTATGAAAGTTGCATTAGAAAATAAATATTGACAAATATAAAAATTTGGTGCATTGAAGAAACTAAGTATTTAGGATAGTCTCTAGTGAATAATGTTTACAAATAAGGACTCTTTATAATAGATAAAATAATAATTATAATAACAGCTAATATTTATTGTGTATTATACTAGAGACTGTCCTGTTTAACATGTATTAATTCATTTAGTCCTTATAATGGCTTCATGAAGTAGTTATTATTATCTCCATTTCATAGATAAGGTAGCTTCATCTTTAATGATAATAATGATAACATATACATACATATACAAATATGTTTTAAAAACCTGCATGTTATTTTATATATGGTGCTGTATTATACAATATATTATGAAAGCTAGTATATATGAATATATGAATATGTTTGTGTTCCACCTACATCTATAAATCAGTTTTTATACCCTGCTGTTGGTGCATAAGTGAGGTGAGAATAGAGACTCTACTCATATGCCGTCGCCTCCTGATTATATAGTAGAGAACTAGAAGTGATAATTATGGGTTGACAACATAGCATACATTTGAACATTTGAACTCTCTGAAGAACAAAGCAAAAGAGATTATTGTCACATAGTTCTTTTTATTTGAAACAACATTATCCCTGTGAATGAAGGCTCAGAAAATAAGGGAAGGAGAGGTTGTTTGGAGGTTTACAAAAGATGGCAGCACTTTTAAGATTATTGGAGCTGACCAAAATCAGACTTGTGAAAGACATGGGATGTTGTAGTGGGAGCATTAAGGAAAAAGCTAAGGTACTGGGGCTGACCCAGATCTCAGGAGCCAAGGGTGCATTCCTATAAATGTGACCTGAACTCAGCGTCACTCCTACCACTTGGACAGAGTGTCTTCGCTGTTAAATTGGGATTACACGTTTTGTTTACTGCATAGGATAACTTGGGGACCAAATTTGCTATTAAATGAAAGCATTTTGAAAAGTAAGAGTGGTATACAAATTCAAATCATTATTTTATGACTAATATAAACAATAATTAGTACATATATTATCATTATTTATGCAGGGCTGATATAAGAGGTTATAGATCTAACTGCCTTACACTGACATTGAGCACTATTTCTGCTGTCTGTGTCATCATGTTCCTCTCTAAGAAGTTTTTATATACTATATCCTTTACCTTCATTCCAATACTGTGAGGTCAGTAGTAGTATCCCATTTACCAATGAGGAAACTGAAACATAGGGAGACAAAGCAATTTGGCCAATGACTACCTCCATCACTCATGCTCACAAACATTACACTACAATGTCTTATTCAAAGCAAGTTATATGTTAAAAAAAAAAAAAAACAATGTATGCAGTTGATGAATTTACAAACTTCCGTGCAGAACCTCCAATTTAGAAAAGTTCAGATTGGGTACAGGATGCCATGTGGTATCCTCCAAATGTGATCTTCTGGTTCAGCTCTCTATAAAAGACTCTAAAACTACCCAGACAAGGGAAGGGATAAGATAATGTTTTTGTAACTACAAATGTCATGTTGAGGATTTGAAGTCACACGGGAACACAGGAAAGAGGTTGTTGTCAAGAGAAGAGTCAACCTCAATAAAAATGCTCCAACCCTTTACCATGGAGTAATATGTAGCCATAAAAAAGAATGAGATGATGTCCTTTGCAGGAACATGGATGGAGCTGGAGGCCATTATCCTTAGCAAACTAACACAGGAACAGAAAACAAAATACCCCTTGTTCCTAGTTATAAGTGGGAGCTAAATTATGAGAACACAGGAACACATACAGGAAAACAACACACACTGGGGCCTTTTGGAGAGTGGAGGGTGGAGGACGGGAGGAGGGAGAGGATCAGGAAAAATAACTAATGGGTGTTGTTATGCCTAATACCTGGGTTATGACATAATCTGTACAACAAACCCCCATGACACAAGTTTACCTGTGTAACAAGCCTGCACATGTGTCCCTGAACTTAAAAAGAAAGAAAAATGCTTCAGAATTCTTAAGGTGTGTGGGGTCCCTCTTGCACAATCCAAGGTTTTTTTTTCTTTCCTTTTTTTTTTTTCTGCCATATTTAGGCTTCCTGCTCTTGCTTCCTCCATACTCCCATGCTCTGTGTTTTCCCTCCTCTATGGGAATCAATCTGATTTTGTAAGTCATGATATTGAGAGATATTGAGATCATGAAGTGTTAATTGGGTCCTCACCATCCTAGGTACTCTGAGAGAGATTTGAGAAATTTGATTCAACTCAACCAATAGGTATTGTACTCACCATGTGTAAGGCACTGGCCTTGGTGCTGGGGATGTCTACTGAAAAGGACACGGTCTTCTTCCTTGACTAGCTCAACCTAGTGCAAGGCTTAGTTCTTTCATTTATTCATTCTAAAATATTGACTGAACATCTGCTATGTACTGGATATGTTTTACTGGAGACAGAACAGTGAAGAGCCATTTTAATTAAGTGAGACCTAGATAGTGAAATGTGAAATAATGGCACAATGATATTTAAGTCCTTTGATGATCATCCTTTAGCCACAA